CTGGCCGCATCCCGCCAAGGCCCCGGCGGCGGTGGGGTTTCCGAGGCGCTCCCCGTCCTTCCGGAGGGGCCGCGGAGGGCGGTCAGGCCTTGATCGGTCGGGCTCCGGGCAGGCACGGATGTTTCATTCGAAACGGCCGTAAAAATCCGCCCGAGCCTGCAATTCGCCACCCGAAATGTATACTCCCTCCCCTCACCCCTCTCTGTTATTTAATATAAAATGTATTTTTAAACACCCGCTCGGATAGCATCTCGCCAATATTTATATTTCCACGTTGCCTGGCATCCACTGTCCCACGTTAGACTCTCCCTCTCTCTCCCTCTCTCTAATCCTGCCACTTTAAATAGATGAATTAATAAAGCAAATGAGGGTCTAATAAGCTGACTGTCCTGCCTATTGAGGCAGGGGGAGAGAGACTAGAAAGTGCGCCAAATTTGTTTGCAGTGGATCAAGGCTAGCCGCCTTTGCTTCACTTTCTTTATCTTAATTCCGACTTGAAAAGATATAATTATCTAGTTTGAACAGAGCTGCTATCAAATCCTTCTCTAGGCAAGGCAGGGGAGAGCTGGAGTGGATTGCAGTGTTCTGAGCCGCTTGGTGCAGCCGGAGATAGGGAGTAATGAAGTTGTGGAGTCCTGAGATACAAAGGGCATTAACCTCATTAGCATGAAACCTTTTCTTCTAACCATTGTGGGACCCTTTCAGACTCCTAATCCCCCCTATTTTCAAAGCTTGGTTTGTAATAAAGCTTTTAGGGTTTTTTTTCAAAGCTAATGGCATTCTCTGAAGATTTTATTGCTGTTACGCTACATAGGACGCTTAATTTTTTTCCCTCTCTCCCTCTCTTTCCTTGCGGTTTAAAAAAAAAAGGGGGGGGAGTATATGGTTCCTGCAGAAATAAGCCTTTTATCAAGATGGGAAACAATTTCTAGAAAGGCCCAAGTCTGCTGTTCAGCGACGATCCGTTTAATGTTTGCCTATTTTGCATGGGTTTGAAGTGGAGCGCAAGCTAACTTAGGCGAGTTAAGGTGAAATGTGCGCCCTGATTCATTTCAAGATCTGCACAATCAGCTGTTTAAGTAGGGGGGGAAATGTAACGAGAAGTTTACCTTGGGAATAGCTCTACTAAATAATTAGCCTAGGTTTAAATGGAAGGGACTGCATTGCGACATGCGTCCTAACCCTGCCTGGGCCTCTCTCATATTTGTAGCAGTACTGAATGGAAAGTCACTAGGATTGTATAGGGGGCAATGTTAAAAAAATAATAAAATCGGATTTAAAAAAAAAATTTACATAGTACCCGATAGAGCCAACACGTGCACAGAATGTCTAATTTTAACTTTTCAAGGCAGGATGTTTAACAAAGCTCGTATTTTCGCCGTGCATTGTAACTTCGCCTTATCACAGTGTAAAGGGTAGTCAGATTGTCCTAAATTATGTCCAACTAGCCCCCCTGGATCCACGGATTAAGAGATTAAAGGAGACCACTGGGCAATGCCTCCTCTTTCCCCTTCATATTCCTGGTATGATAATTGCCTAAACTGATTTGCACTTTCACAAAAGCTTGCAGGATTCTTTGTAGCTCTAACAGAGCAGACGAGGTTTCTCTATCAATGGAAATAAAACTGATTAATGCAGTCTATCAGGCTAAGGAGCAAATGAAGCATGAAAAAACAACTGTGTACCCCCAGAAAACCGGCTAGTTTCCTCAAGGACCCATAGCAACTTTTTTCCCCTTCTTTAATGTTAGAGCTTTACTCTGTACCCAGCCAGAATCGCTCCCTTTAATGGTGGGGAGAGCAGCAGCTGGGGCGCAATGTTTGCCGCCCAGAACTTGCTCCTCACGGTAACGACTGGGAAGGGAGGGGGGGTAAAAGAAAGGAAAAATCCTCCCCGCAAAATGAAATACGTATTTTTGAAAAGGAACTCCCCGTTGTAGCAGCGCTTTCCCTTTCCGCGGACTGCGGCTGCTGAGGACCAGATTGTTTAACCCTCCCATTACGAGTCGGTTTGCACTTCAGGTTCTAACCAGGGAAGGGGTTGGGTTTGTTTTGGTGTTTTTTTAACGTATTTATTTACAGCAAGTGGGTCTCTGCGGCTTATTTTTAGAGGTCTATTTACAAGCGAGTGAATTCATTAAGAAAATGCTCCTATCGCCTCAGGAATGCGCTGCGTGGTCAGGAGAGCGCAGGCTCCGACCGCACAAAATTAGCAGCTAAAAATATGGGGAAAACTAGCAATTTCCGACAAATCTGGGGGAGGGGGAAAATATATTGCTTAACATTGTAGGGCATATTGATAAATCTTTATTGACAAAATATTGACAATGACATACTTCTTGGAAGTATATAGTGTGTTAGAATTCTAACAAATTAAACACAAAACACAAAAATATTTACATTCTGGTATAGAAGACATGAAGGAAACATTTGTCACTTTTTTTTTAGTAGCTCTATAATCTCGGAATATTATAAGGTCAGTGCTTGAAAATTGCTCCAATGAAAATGGCCATTAGGAAAAAAAAATCAATCCGTGATTTTAAGTCCCTTTTTTTTTCCTGCATCATCCCAGCCTGGGAGGTATCCCCACCGCCAAACCTGGTCGCTGGGCTTGCGCTTTATTTATTTTAAAAAATAATGATCATCCGGTTTCGCAATGGGGATATAATCGGGGAGGGGGGGAGGGACCCTCCCGTCCCTCCCCTGCCCCACCGTGTTTGTCCATCCGGAAGGAACACTATGCTTTGTTACTGCTACTTCATTTAGCTTTCACAAACACTTTGACGCCAGAAGTTATCATAAAATGTTTACAGACTGCACATTTCTCGTAAAATAAAATTAAAAAGCACACAGAACCTGTCTTAAAGGGAAAAAATTACAATTCATTTCTGTCTTTAGGAACCGGGGTACTTTTTTCTTTTTTTTCTTTTTTTTTTTCCTTTTTTCCTTTTTTGCCCAAACGGCTTTACACATGCAATTCAAGTTTCTGAAACAGGTGTGGGTTTTGGCTGCTTACGGAAAATTTTCTTTTAAAGACGGAAAAAACTGTGAAGTGCAAAATGTCCTGTAAGTTGGAAATTTTTTGTTTTTTTATTTTTTCTTTTTAAGATTTTTTTTAAAGTTTTTTAATTTTTTTGACGTAATGTTTTTAAAAGTGGACTGCGAGAAACGGAATACCTGTCAATCACCTCGTCTCGGTGGTTTGCCTTTGACTGACAGATCCCCTTTGCCAGAGCTGTGCCAGCAGTGCCACAGTTTGGACCTCTCGCAGTCTCGCCTTCGCTTGGTCTCAGCTGCCCTCCTAGTCGGGAATCGCATTTTGTTGAAGATCTCTGTGTCCCTTCCCCGCACCGCCACGTTGGTGTGTGTGTGAGCCTTTAACACTTTCTGTTGGTGGGTTGGTTGGCTTGAAAAGTCCAAAAGTGCCAGTTTTTAATCGTCCGACGTGACGTCGATTTCTTCTGGACTGGCTTGTTTGGTGGCGATTCTCCACCGGTTAATATGATGAGTCCCTTTTTTCTTCTGTTGTGAGTCTGAGCCTTCCTCTTCCAACTTTTGCCGCTTGAACTTTGTCCTTCTGTTCTGAAACCATACTTTTACCTGCGGGGGGGAAAGGCACCGGGCGTTAGTCCGCCGCCTGTCCGGACACGGGTGCTCCCCGGCGCCTGCTCCCCTGGCCGTGCCCGGGGCTCCGCGCCCTGCCTGCGCCGCCACCCAGCCTGGCGGGGGACGAAGGGGGCCTGGGCCCGGCGCTATCCGAGCATCTCCGGGAAAAGGACAGACACCTCCACCTGTGTCTACCCAGGCATCTATAGAGCAAACACATATACTCAGGCATACGTGCCTCTGTGTCGACGTGCGTACGGATAACTCTGGAAAGTCATCCAGATGCGTGTCTATAGATCCACACTCCATAGACGTGCTAGACATATGTGTGTCTGCGCAGGCACCCACACAGACCCCGACGGGGTGAGCGAGCGCATATCCGTATGTGCAGAAACGCAGGCACTCGCTGCCTCCTGCGCGCACCTCTGGCACGGGGGCCGGTACGAACACGGACCCGCCGCGTATCAACATGGATGAGTTTCCTGTACATTGCCCGCACGTTGCGCCAAGTATCTAATGGAGGAAAAACAAAGGGTAGATTCGCGGCGAACAGCTTTCAAAATCCAAACACTGCCGTCGGGGAAGCGCTGGGCAGGGGGAAGCCACCTGGG